GCTCCACAGCGAGGCCTGTCCCCTCACCTTGCCTCCTCCCTGCGCAACCACACCGCCCCGGTCCTCTGCTTCCTCCACCAGTGCCAGGAACACCCTAGGGACAAAGTGGAAGCAGCTGGAGTCAAGGACGTGCCACAGTGGGTCCCAACAGCACGCAGACACCTGCAGCCGGCCCAGGCTGTACCAGACTCCTGGACACCCCCTTTCCGCTCCTAGGAGCTTGCATTCACCCCAGGCATGCAAGTTCACTGGTGGGACACCGGCAGCCTCAGAACCCAGCTGCCTCCCTGCCAACCCCTGCACACCCGTACCTGGAGATCAGCTCCCGGCAGGAGTTGGTGAGTGCTGGGTTCTCGCTCTTCACCATGCAGGCCAGAGCTGACACCACACCAGCTGTCAGCAGCTTCCGCACCCGTCGCTTCACAAAGTCCGGCTTGTCCTGTCCCAGAGGCAGGGTCACCATTTGGCTCGGTGGCACCAGCCTGCTGCCTGCTGCCATCCACTGCGAGGTCTCCAACACCAACCCTGAAGGCCCCAAGGACACCCTGTCCCCACTCAGGACCCCGGGCTCGGCCCTCTCACTCACTCTCCCCCAGGCCCAAGGTTCCCAGCAGCTCCCGAGAACGGCCATGCCCTGCTCACCTTGGGGTGCTGCTCTGGGATGTGCTGCTTTGCGTACTTGGCCAGCTCCACCATCTGGGGGTCTGGCTCCTCGTGGTCATAGCTGTTGGTGCAGTTCACTAATGTGGAGGCGACTGCGTAGAGCACACTCCTGTCCTCCGACTGCAGCAATAATAGGATGCCCATCACATCCCATGATGGAGGGGACAGGCCAGGGCTTGAGCCCATCCAGCACCACTGGGCCCTTGCACACACCCCAGCAACCATAGCGTGAGCCCCACCGACCCTCTCTGGCACGGTTCCCCAGTGCCAGGATGCCCACCACCCAGGGCTCCCATCACAGCACTCAGCTGGCACCTTGGCCAGGTGGAACATGGCCTGCATCGCTGCCTTGTCCTCCACGAACTCCTCCTTGACATCCGCATCGAAGGTGAGGTAGGCTAGGCCCTCCACAGCCCAGCGCCGCGTGCCCGCATCAATCATATCATTGCAGAGCCACCTGGGAGAGGGGCCCTGTGAGCCCAGGCTGCGGAGCACCCTGCCCAGCTTCCCCCCCACCCCACCCAGCAGCACTCACTTGCGGCACTGCTTGGCCAATTTCATCGTGGAGCCCTCGGCAAACTGCTTCATGCTGAAGTCGGTGCCTCCGGCGGATCCCAGCTTGCAGAGCCCCTGCAGCCAGAAGCCGAGGGTCAGCGCAGGAATGGGCACG